ATCTGAGACTGGGTAAACCTGGGAACCAAGGTCATTTTTTTTCTATAAACATTCTAGCTCTGTTTGAATTTGACCTTAGGATCTACAGGTAAGCGTCTAGCTGCTACACTGTAGCATCTGCCTGATATGATGCCCATGTAGAAAAACAAAACATAAAAAGAATATATATATATATATATATATATATATGTATATATATATATATATATATATATATATATATATATATATATATATATATATATATATATATATATATATATATATATATATATATATATATATATATATATATATATATATATATATATATATATATATATATATATATATATATATATACCTTATATATTATATATCTCTGCTTGGCTGGCTCAGTATCCTTGATCAAATACATTGTCCTCTTTTGACATAGTACTCATTGAACTTCCACAAACAGCTGAATTTAGTCATGTGTGTAAATCTTTGCTGCCTGCTTTATGTCGAGTTGAATTTAGTCATGTGTGTTTATATCTCTGCTGCCTGCTTTATGTCGAAGTGTATTTAGTCATGTGTGTTTATATCTCTGCTGCCTGCTTTATGTCGAAGTGTATTTAGTCATGTGTGTTTATATCTCTGCTGCCTGCTTTATGTCGAGCTGAATTTAGTAATGTTTGTAAATCTTTGCTGCCTGCTTTATGTCGAGCTGAATTTAGTCATGTATGTTTATATCTCTGCTGCCTGCTTTATGTCGAGGTGTATTTAGTCATGTGTGTTTATATCTCTGCTGCCTGCTTTATGTCGAGGTGTATTTAGTCATGTGTGTTTATATCTTTGCTGCCTGCTTTATGTCGAGGTGTATTTAGTCATGTGTGTTTATATCTTTGCTGCCTGCTTTATGTCGAGGTGTATTTAGTCATGTGTGTTTATATCTTTGCTGCCTGCTTTATGTCGAGGTGTTTTTAGTCATTTGTGTTGATATCTCTGCTGCCTGCTTTATGTCGAGCTGAATTTAGTCATGTGTGTTGATATCTCTGCTGCCTGCTTTATGTTGAGGTGTATTTAGTCATATGTGTTGATAACTCTGCTGCCTGCTTTAGGTTGAGGTATATTTAGTCATTTGTGTTGATATCTCTGCTGCCTGCTTTATGTCAAGGTGTATTTAGTCATATGTGTTGATATCTCTGCTGCCTGCTTTATGTTGAGGTGTATTTAGTCATTTGTGTTTATATCTCTGCTGCCTGCTTTATGTCGAGGTGTATTTAGTCATGTGTGTAAATCTTTGCTGCCTGCTTTATGTCGAGGTGTATTTAGTCATTTGTGTTGATATCTCTGCTGCCTGCTTTAGGTTGAGGTGAGAGTGATGACCACAGAGCTGTGCTTCACAGGATATACCTACAAACACAGGTCAGCACTGTTATGCCAAACTCAGTGTTTTGCTGGAAAATGGTGACATCTGTACCAATCAATCTTCAATGACTATAAAGTTTTAAAATCGAAATAAGAATCAACATCATTGCACTCTAGACATTTTCATAAGTGCTCCGTCCCCATCCTTATCAGCCAGCAAAGAGTTCCAATTGATGACTATAAACTATTCTGAAACTGCAAGAGCTGCAAGTGGTGATCAGCTGTTCTCTAGTCCTCTTGTGTGACAGCTAACGGGGCAAGATGCTGCAGCAGATACTTGATGAGATGTATATTGACCCAGAACTTCTGGAGGAGCTGTCCGAAGACCAGAAGCAGGTTCTTTTCTATAAGATGAGAGAGGTAAGGCACTGTATCCCTTTTCATCTATCAGCTAATGTTTTATTTGGCATGTTTATCCTGACAAGGCATTTGACTGTGTGCAACGCAATAAACTGTGGCATATAATGAGAGCCATGGGATTTCCAAAACATCTGGTGAACTTAATGGAATCTCTTTACCATGAACAACAAGCAGCAGTCAGAGTAGCTGGTGAAACAACAGAGTGGTTTAAGTGCAGAAAGAAGTGATATAGGGCTGCCTACTTTCTCTGTCTTTTTTTTTTAAGCATTATTACAGAAAATGTAATGAGAAATGCAATTAGCCATAGGCATTTAAGGGCTTTGATCCACTAAAAATTGTAGGTAATCCTATCCCAGAACTCTGATATGCTGAAAACACAGTTCTTCTTTCTCACAGTGTACAAGATTTAGAAAAAATTAATTCTGGCCATCAAAAAGCACAGCAAAGAAGTGAATTTTGTTTCTGAATGTGAAAAAAACAACAACAAAAATCATATCCTCAGTAAACGCACACCAACCATATATCACAATCGAAAATGAAGAAATAGAAAATGTCACAGGTTCAGAATACTTGGGCTCTTTAGTGAACAACAGTGGCGACTGCTCGAAAGAAGTCAGAAGAAGACTTGCATAAGCAATGCAGAGATTAAACAGCAAGAAGAACCTATGGCAAAGCACCTGTAAATTAGTTAAAGTGAAAATCTGGAGATCATGTATTTTTCCTGTGGCAGCTTACTGTTGTAAATCTAAACTTTCACTTAATAACTGAAGAAAAAAATGTGAAGTTTTTGAATTAAAATGTAACAGAAAAAATTCTCAATACCATAGATCAAGAAGAGGAAAAACATCAACGTTCTAAATGAATTAAACATCAAGGAGAACTGGCTTGTAAATAGTGTCCTGTCCCGAAAATTGAAGTATTTTAGCCACTTCAAACGACATGTTCCAGTGTATCTGTTGGGAACATGTTCCAGTGTATCTGTTGGGGACATGTTCCAGTGTATCTGTTAGGGACATGTTCCAGTGTATCTGTTGCGGACATGTTCCATTGTATCTGTTGGGGACATGTTCCAGTGTATCTGTTGGGTACATCTTACAGTGTATCATTTGGGGACATGTCCCAGTGTGTCTGTTGGGGACACATTCCAGTGTGTCTGTTGGGGACATGTTCCAATGTGTCTGTTGGGGACATGTTCCAATGTGTCTGTTGGGGACATGTTCCAGTGTGTCTGTTGGGGACATGTTCCAATGTGTCTGTTGGGGACATGTTCCAGTATGTCTATTGGGGACATGTTCCAGTGTGTCTATTGGGGACATGTTCCAGTGTGTCTATTGGGGACATGTTCCAGTGTGTCTGTTGGGGACATGTTCCAGTGTGTCTATTGGGGACATGTTCCAATGTGTCTATTGGGGACATGTTCCAGTGTGTCTATTAGGGACTTGTTCCAGTGTGTCTATTGGGGACATGTTCCAGTGTGTCTATTGGGGACTTGTTCCAGTGTGTCTATTGGGGACATGTTCCAATGTGTCTATTGGGGACATGTTCCAGTGTGTCTATTGGGGACATGTTCCAGTGTGTCTATTGGGGGACATGTTCCAGTGTGTCTATTGGGGACATGTTCCAGTGTGTCTATTGGGGACATGTTCCAGTGTGTCTATTGGGGACATGTTCCAATGTGTCTATTGGGGACATGTTCCAGTGTGTCTATTGGGGACTTGTTCCAGTGTGTCTATTGGGGACATGTTCCAATGTGTCTATTGGGGACATGTTCCAGTGTGTCTATTGGTGACATGTTCCAGTGTGTCTATTGGGGACATGTTCCAGTGTGTCTGTTGGGGAAATGTTCCAATGTGTACTTTCTCATCAGATAGCCACCCAGATATTAACTTCTCTAATGTTTGTGGTCAGTTGCGTGTGTGTGTCTGTCTGTCATCGGGGTAGCTTTCCAGCATCTGCTGAGGAAGTCTGATCATTCGTGGGATAGTAAATGTGTGTATGGGTGTGTTTGCATATCATACAGTAGACATAAAGTATATGTATGTGTGTGTGTGTGCAACATGAACATTTGTATGCCATAGACATACAGTAATTAATCATCATCATCATATATATATATATATATATATATATATATATATATATATATATATATATATATATTATATATATATATATATATATATATATATATATATATATATATATATATATATAAAAATTTGTACTTTTATCTGCAGGAGCAGGTTCGTAGATGGAAGCTTCATGAGGAAAAGCTGGAGGAGGAAGAGAAAAAGAAACCCAAAAAGCCGCTTAAAGAAGGTTTGTGGGGCGCAAAGAGGGGGGGGGGGGAGGAGTTTGCAGACAGTGTGTGGATATTGTTGATGATGGGACATGTTCCTGTTTTCTCCTTCTGGTGATGACATTTTCATTCCATGTTATGCAGCTGACGCAGACTGTGATCTGTGTCACAGCTTCTCCCACATGCATTGTAGTTGTAACTGTGTCCTTTGGTTAGAGCTTAAGCAGAGAGAGACCCCCCCCCCCCCCCCCCCCCCAGACCAGTATGTTGAAACTTGTCTGAATGACTGGGGTCCAAGTCTAGTGTTACTGGCTGAAAGACTCTTGAGTAATGTCCTTCCAACTAGCCTCCTGCTTGTGACTTCATGTTTTCCTGTTCCTTAGTTCTACACACACAACCACTTGAGTGTTAGACAGGCTGAGTGTTAGACAGGCTGAGTGTGAGACAGGCTAAATGTTAGACAGGCTGAATGTTAGACCGGCTGAATGTTAGACCAGCTGAATGTTAGACCGGCTGAATGTTAGACCTGCTGAGTCTTAGAAAGGCTGAGTGTGAGACAGGCTGAGTGATAGACAGGTTGAGTGTGAGACAGGCTGAGTGTTAAACAGGCTGTGTGTTAGACAGGCTGAATGCTATCTGTCTGTCTGTGTGTTTATCTATCTTTAATACTCACTGTCTCAGCTAACTATTATTAAGTGTAAATCCCTCTGCCCACTCTTTGAATTTCTGTAATACTCTTTGTCCATCCGCTATCTTGTTTTTTTCTGTAATACTCTTTGTCCATCCAGCTGTTTTGAATGTGACACATTTTTATTTATTTTCCCCCATTTAATTAGGAAAGAAGAAAGTGGACTTCCTCACAGGCAGAGATGGGTGTGAGTGGGTGTGGATCATGGGTGAGCACCCAAATGACAAATCTATTGAACAGATACTGGAAGAGGAGGCTAAGGCAATGGCTCAGAAACTCGCTGATGCTGAAGCGGAAGCTGTCAGGTAGCTTTGGAAATTGTTCTGGCAACAGAGTTTCTCTATCAACTCAGATAATTTATTTTATAGACTGGTAGTTCCTGTCTGTGTGTGATCTTATATAATCTTTGTTCCTGTCTATGTGTGATCTTATATAATCTTTGTTCCTGTCTGTGTGTGATCTTATATAATCTTTGTTCCTGTATGTGTGTGATCTTATAGAATCTTAGTTCCTGTCTGTGTGTGATCTTATATAATCTTTGTTCCAGTCTGTGTGTGATCTTATATAATCTTTGTTCCAGTCTGTGTGTGATCTTATATAATCTTTGTTCCAGTCTGTGTGTGATCTTATATAATCTTTGTTCCAGTCTGTGTGTGATCTTATATAATCTTTGTTTCTGTCTATGTGTGATCTTATAGAATCTTAGTTCCTGTCTATGTGTGATCTTATAAAATCTTAGTTCCTGTCTATGTTTGATCTTATACAATCTTATTTCCTGTCTGTTTGTGAACTTTTAGAATCATAGTTCCTGTCTGTTTGTGAACTTTTAGAATCATAGTACCTGTCTGTGTGTGATTTTATAGAATCGTAGTACCTGTCTGTGTGTGATCTTATAGAATCGTAGTTCCAGTCTTTGTGTGATCTTATAGAATCTTAGTTCCTGTCTATGTGTGATCTTACAGAATCTTAGTTCCTGCCTATGTGTGATCTTTTATAGAATCTTAGTTCCTGTCTATGTGTGATCTTATAGAATCTTAGCTCCTGTCTTTGTGTGATCTTTTAGAATCTTAGTTCCTGTCTTTGTGTGATCTTATAGAATCTTAGTTCCTGTCTTTGTGTGATCTTATAGAATCTTAGTTCCTGTCTTTGTGTGATCTTATAGAATCTTAGTTCCTGTCTTTGTGTGATCTTTTAGAATCTTAGTTCGTGTCTATGTGTGATCTTATAGAATCTTAGTTCCTAGTATGTGTGATTTTATAGAATTGTAGTTACTGTCTATGTGTGACCTTGTAGAATCATAGTTACTGTCTGTGTTTGGTTTGAACAATAGATCAATATCATGGCACAAGGTTAGTAACCCATAAATGCTTTGTTCTACTTCTAACTCATGCCTGAGTCCAAAGAATCTCACTGCAGTACACAAACTCTGTAGCACCAGCAAGGATCCTTAACTACTTTGGGTAGATGTTTAACTCCAGATTTTTTGCCCAGGCAGCACTGTTAGGATACTCTTTTTGATTTCCAACAGCCAAGAGATTTGTTACATGTGCAGCAATACACATAGGCATCCGGTCCTACTACCCAGAGACCTGGAGAAATAGCCAGTAGTCTACGTGAAAAAATCCCAGCCTTCACCGGGGCTTAAACCCGCTACCACCAGCACTTTAGGTGAACGCCATGCCTCGAGACCACTCAGCCCCCCAGTTCCTGTCTATGTGTGATCTTATAGAATCATAGTTCCCTGTCTATGTGTGATCTTATAGAATCATAGTTCTCTGTCTATGTGTGATCTTATAAAATCATAGTTCCCTGTCTATGTGTGATCATATAGAATCATAGTTCCCTGGTTATCTGTAATCTTATAGAATCATAGTTCCCTGGTTATCTGTAATCTTATAAAAATCATAGTTCCCTGGTTATCTGTGATCTTATGAAATCATAGTCCCCTTTTTGTATGTGATTTTGTTGAGCAGGTCTATTCAGCTTGTGGTCCACATGCCAGATCAGTCCGCAGAGACCTGGCAAATTGCCCATGAATCACCTACCAGTGTTATTACATTAATCTTCTTTCTTTGCTGGGGTTCGGGCCTGTAGCCCTTGACAATCCCCATTATGTGCAGTGTTATAGAGTGATGGTTTCTGTTAACATAAGATTTTGTAGCATGAAAGTTCCTGTTTATTTATTAACTTGTAGAGTGGTAGTTCCTGTTTATTTATTTTGCTTATAGAGTAGTAGTTCCTGTTTACATAAGATTTTGTAGTATGGTAGTTCCTGTTTTTTTTTTTATTAACCTGTAGAGTAGTAGTGCCTGTTTGTAAGAGACCTCCTAGTATTTTAATTACTGTTTATGTGTGACTTCCTGGTATCGTAGTTACTGTTTATGTGCAACCTCCTGGTATGGTAGTTACTGTTTATATGTGACCTCCTGGTATCGTAGTTACTGTTTATGTGCGACCTCCTGGTATGGTAGTTACTGTTTATGTGCGACCTACTTGTATTGTAGTTCCTGTTTATGTGTGACCTCCTGGTATGGTAGTTCCTGTTTATGTGTGACCTTGCGGTGGTATGGTAGTTCCTGTTTATGTGTGACCTCCTGGTATCGTAGTTACTGTTTATGTGCGACCTCCTGGTATGGTAGTTCCTGTTTATGTGCGACCTACTTGTACTGTAGTTCCTGTTTATGTGTGACCTCCTGGTATGGTAGTTCCTGTTTATGTGTGACCTTGCGGTGGTATGGTAGTTCCTGTTTATGTGCGACCTACTTGTATTGTAGTTCCTGTTTATGTGTGACCTCCTGGTATGGTAGTTCCTGTTTATGTGTGACCTTGCGGTGGTATGGTAGTTCCTGTTTATGTGCGACCTACTTGTATTGTAGTTCCTGTTTATGTGTGACCTCCTGGTATGGTAGTTACTGTTTATGTGCGACCTACTTGTATTGTAGTTCCTGTTTATGTGTGACCTCCTGGTATGGTAGTTCCTGTTTATATGTGACCTCGCGGTGGTATGGTAGTTTCTGTTTATGTGTGACATCCTGGTATGGTAGTTTCTGATTATGTGTGACCTCCTGGTATGGTAGTTTCTGTTTATGTGTGACCTCCTCGTATGGTAGTTCCTGTTTATGTGTGACCTTCTGGTATGGTAGTTACTGTTTATGTGTGACCTCCTGGTATGGTAGTTACTGTTTATGTGTGACCTCCTGGTATGGTAGTTACTGTTTATGTGTGATTTCATAAAGGGCATGTTAGTTCCTGTTAAATATGATTAGTTCTTTTAGTAAAAGTAGTGACACTGTGTCTTGCAGAAGTTATATAAGTATCATATTAAAATGTCATGATAGGCTGAAAGAGGAAGCAGCACTAATGAGAAGGATAGAAGAAGAAAAGCAGCGGGTCGTTAAGGAGAAAGCAGAACGTGAAGCTGAAATGAAGTAAGTCTTGAAAATATATATTTGTTGTCTCTAAATTTCTTTTGTGGGTGAAAACAAGAATAGACCCACTGCCTCCCCAACAAACATGTCATAGGAAGGAGTCTACTAATTGGGGGCTTTCCTTCGAAGTTGGAGTGCATCTGCCCGAGAAGCTTGGAACAACCAGCTATACACAAATAAGCCAGTAAAATGGATGTACATGCAAAAGTTAGGCCCTGGGACAAAGCCACAGTCTGAATGGACAAACAGCCAGGGCTTTCCGCCAGAGCTTAGTCGATGAACAAAGAAAAGGAAGAAGTTGTCCCTGAATGCTGTCTGTCAGAGTAACATTAGACCATGTACTTGTTTAGTGGCAGCAACTCTATACTGACATTCTAGGTGGTCTACTGACATTCTAGGTGGTCTGCTGACATTCTAGGTGCTCTACTGACATTCTAGGTGGTCTGCTGACATTCTAGATGGTCTGCTGACATTCTAGGTGGTCTACTGACATTCTAGGTGGTCTACTGACTTTCTAAGTGGTCTACTGACATTCTAGGTGGTCTGCTGACATTCTAAGTGGTCTACTGACATTCTAGGTGGTCTACTGACATTCTAGGTGGTCTGCTGACATTCTAGGTGGTCTACTGACATTCTAGGTGGTCTACTGACATTCTAGGTGGTCTACTGACATTCAGACCTTCATCAGCAAAAGATCCCTCCACTCAGTTTTGAGGGAGCTCTTACAGTCTTGCACATCTTCACAGATTAAAGAACAAGATGTGGTCTTCATGTGTGCCTTACACTGGCAACATTTCCTTTCTGACTGGCTACAATCTTTTTTTATTTTTGTGTGTGTTAATTTTTGTTAAGTGATGCTCTTGAGTTTGTTTTAGTGTTTTCATCCACTTCAGGGTAGTTTGCTATGAAATTACAATGTTTTGGTAGAGTCAGTTAGCTGAAATTAGTGAATGTATGCTATTGGTTGACACTTCCTTTGTCTGAACATTGTGGTTTGTATGTCTCCACTAAGTCAAATAATTTAAACCAAAAAAAAAGGGGGGGGGGGGGTGTTTTGCTAATTGGTTGCCAGAAAAAATACTTTTTGTAGAAGAGGAAATATTTGATTATACAAGAGCATATTTGTGTTCAGCTAGTTGTCACTGTCTTACGTCTTACCCCCTTACCTCCCTCCTTCACACTGTGAGACTACCAAAGACAAAAGGGATGATTCATACTATTTATATTTTTTTTAATGCAGACGGCAACAAGAAGAAGCAGAATTATACAAGTCAATTAAAGAAGCTCGACTGGCATTTCAAAGAATGGAGTTGGAAAAAAAGAATGATGAAGAAAAAAATAAGAGACGACTTTCAGAAATTGAGGTAAGAGTTAAGAGATGATCAAATCTTCAACAGTGAGACATAGCAACTTTTTTTCTTGTAGGTCAGATCTTGAACAATGAGACACATCAATCTGCTTTCTTGTAGGCAGATGGGCAGTCAAAATGTATCATAGTATATTGGTGAAAGAGGGAGACAGTAACAAACAATAACAGCACTGGTAGAATACTGTGCAAGTGCAAAGTGCAGTGATATCACAACAGAACATAAAAAACATCAATGTTAAACGGTCATGCAAAAATAGCAGCAGAGGATCACATGATGTTAGAAGACCATACAAAAAAAGGAGTGTAAACAAAGACAAGACAAGACACAACTAACAGTCCTTGAGCTGCACCAACACAGTGGCAAGTAGGCTAGCCTGATGGAACAGTCAGCATGTATTCACATCTTTATTAGGACATAGTTTTTAACAGTGATTTGCTCTTTCAACTAGATGCCACTACATTGATACAGTCTAAAGTTCTCTCACATTGATACAGTCTTAATATGAGTACCCGCCATAGACTTGTTCTCTCACATTGATACAGTCTTAATATGAGTACCAGCCACAGACTTGTTCTCTCACATTGATACAGTCTAAATATGAGTACCCGCCATAGACTTGTTCTCTCACATTGATACAGTCTAAATATAAGTACCGGCCACAGACTTGTTCTCTCACATTGACCTACAGTCAAAATATGAGTACCCGCCATAGACTTGTTCTCTCACATTGATACAGTCTAAATATGAGTACCAGCCACAGACTTGTTCTCTCACATTTTTTTTCAAGTTCCCTTTTCACGCCTTTCGGCGCATCGGGCATATGGGCAGAGCGTCCCATATTTTTACAGACCATCAGCACTCAGTGGGTAATGTGGTCAGCATTACGCCGGCTGTCTTTACTTTCCAAGGACAGCCCATCCTGGTACCCATTTTAGGCTGGGTCGACCTGCGACGTCCCATACCACGACAAAAATCCACGCAGCCTGCAGTGGGTTTCGATCGCGGTATGCTTGCTTACGAGTCGGACTCGCAACGCTTTAGCCATGGACGCCGCACATTGATACAGTCTAAATATGAGTACCAGCCACAGACTTGTTCTCTCACATTGAAAGACTAAATATGAGTACCAGCTTCAGACTTGTTCTCTCACATTGATACAGTCTAAATATGAGTACCAGCTACAGACTTGTTCTCTCACATTGATACAGTCTAAATATGAGTACCAGCCATAGATTTTCCCATTGATAGTCTAAATATGAGTACCAGCCATAGACTTTTTCTCTTACATTGATACAGTCTAAATATGAGTACCAGTTACAGACTTGTTCTCTCACATTGATACAGTCTAAATATGAGTACCAGCCACAGACTTGTTCTCTCACATTGATACAGTCTAAATATGAGTACCAGCTACAGACTTGTTCTCTCACATTGATACAGTCTAAAAATGAGTACCAGTCATAGATTATCCCATTGATAGTCTAAATATGAGTACCAGCTACAGACTTGTTCTCTCACATTGATACAGTCTAAATATGAGTACCAGCTACAGACTTGTTCTCTCACATTGATACAGTCTAAATATGAGTACCAGCTACAGACTTGTTCTCTCACATTGATAGTCTAAATATGAGTACCAGCTACAGACTTGTTCTCTCACATTGATACAGTCTAAATATGAGTACCAGCTACAGACTTGTTCTCTCACATTGATACAGTCTAAATATGAGTACCAGCTACAGACTTGTTCTCTCACATTGATACAGTCTAAATATGAGTACCTGCTACAGACTTGTTCTCTCACATTGATACAGTCTAAATATGAGTACCAGCCATAGACTTGTTCTCTCAGATTGATAGTCTAAATATAAGTACCAGCTACAGACTTGTTCTCTCACATTGTTAGTCTAAATATAAGTACCAGCTACAGACTTGCTCTTTTACATTGATATGGTCTGAATATGAGTACCAGCCACAGACTTGTTCTCTCACATTGATAGTCTAAGTATGAGTACCAGCCATAGACTTTTTCTCTTACATTGATACAGTCTAAATATGAGTACCAGTTACAGACTTGTTCTCTCACATTGATACAGTCTAAATATGAGTACCAGCCACAGACTTGTTCTCTCACATTGATACAGTCTAAATATGAGTACCAGCTACAGACCTGTTCTCTCACATTGATACAGTCTAAAAATGAGTACCAGTCATAGATTATCCCATTGATAGTCTAAATATGAGTACCAGCTACAGACTTGTTCTCTCACATTGATACAGTCTAAATATGAGTACCAGCTACAGACTTGTTCTCTCACATTGATACAGTCTAAATATGAGTACCAGCTACATACTTGTTCTCTCACATTGATACAGTCTAAATATGAGTACCAGCTACAGACTTGTTCTCTCACATTGATACAGTCTAAATATGAGTACCAGCCATAGACTTGTTCTCTCAAATTGATAGTCTAAATATAAGTACCAGCTACAGACTTTCTCTTTTACATTGATATGGTCTAAATATGAGTACCAGCCACAGACTTGTTCTCTCACATTGATAGTCTAAATATGAGTACCAGCCACAGACTTGTTCTCTCACATTGATACAGTCTAAATATGAGTACCAGTTACAAACATGTTCTCTCACATTGATAAAGTCTAAATATGAGTACCAGCCACATACTTGTTCTCTCATATTGATACAGTCTAAATATGAGTACCAGCCACATACTTGTTCTCTCATATTGATACAGTCTAAATATGAGTACCAGCCATAGACTTGTTCTCTCACATTGATAGTCTGAATATGAGTACTAGCCACAGACTTGTTCTCTCACATTGATAGTCTAAATATGAGTACCAGCTACAGACTTTTTCTCTCACATTGATAGTCTGAATATGAGTACCAGCTACAAACTTGTTCTCTCACATTGATACAGTCTAAATATGAGTACCAGCCATAGACTTGTTCTCTCACATTGATAGTCTGAATATGAGTACCAGCTACAAACTTGTTCTCTAACATTGATAGTCTGAATATGAGTACCAGCTACAAACTTGTTCTCTCACATTGATACAGTCTAAATATGAGTACCAGCCATAGACTTGCTCTCTCACATTGATAGTCTGAATATTAGTACCAGCCACAGGCTCCCATTCAATGAAGTGGTGCAGTAGCTGTCGACAAACATGTCTGCACAACTTAACAACATAAATGTTCTGTTGCATTTGTTCTGTTTTTCATCAGGAAGGAGAGTGCTCCAGGTGACATCTATGGGGTGTGCAGTAGATGTTGTCTGTGTGTGTCACTTTATCTGTAGCAGTTTAGTAGAGTGTGCACTAGATGTTGTCTGTGTGTGTCACAGTATCTGTAGCAGTTTAGTGGAGTGTGCAGTAGATGTTGTCTGTGTGTGTTACAGTATCTGTAGCAGTTTAGTGGAGTGTGCAGTAGATGTTGTCTGTGTTTGTCACAGTATCTGTAGCAGTTTAGTGGAGTGTGCAGTAGATGTTGTCTGTGTGTGTTACAGTATCTGTAGCAGTTTAGTGGAGTGTGCACTAGATGTTGTCTGTGTGTGTCACAGTATCTGTAGCAGTTTAGTGGAGTGTGCAGTAGATGTTGTCTGTGTGTGTTACAGTATCTGTAGCAGTTTAGTGGAGTGTGCACTAGATGTTGTCTGTGTGTGTCACAGTATCTGTAGCAGTTTAGTGGAGTGTGCAGTAGATGTTGTCTGTGTGTGTTACAGTATCTGTAGCAGTTTAGTGGAGTGTGCAGTAGATGTTGTCTGTGTGTGTTACAGTATCTGTAGCAGTTTAGTGGAGTGTGCAGTAGATGTTGTCTGTGTGTGTTACAGTATCTGTAGCAGTTTAGTGGAGTGTGCAGTAGATGTTGTCTGTGTGTGTTACAGTATCTTTAGCAGTTTAGTGGAGTGTGCAGTAGATGTTGTCTGTGTGTGTTACAGTATCTTTAGCAGTTTAGTGGAGTGTGCAGTAGATGTTGTCTGTGTATGTCATAGTATCTGTAGCAGTAGCAGTTTAGTAAACACTAGTGCTGATGGTCACTCGAAGATTAATGAGAAGTTGTGCTATGACAGTATCTCCCCACAGTGTACCCAAGAAATAAAGATTCTTCTTCTAGTGTCCCAGAGAGATAAACATCCCCCCTCCCCTAGTATGCCATAGAGATACACATTCTTCTCCCAGTGTCACAGAGAGATAAACATTCTTCTCCCAGTGTCACAGAGAGATAAACATTCTCCCTACAGTGTGCCCTGGAGATAAAGACTTCTCCTGCTGACTACATCAAACAACAGATGAAGAGGGATTAGTCACATGAGATGTTCACTAGAGGGCATTTTTGGTGACAGACATTTGTCTCTTGTTGGGTTGGCTCCCTGTGTTTGCAGACTCATCAGTTTAAATGTGATCTTTTTGACAGAATTATCTGTGCACATCACAGATATACTAGATAATGTCATGTGTTAGACTGACTGACTTCTGTCCCTGTTACATGCTGTTCTCTGATAAACATTCTTGGGTGCCACTTGAGCAGAGCTGTATGTGAACTAATGATTGCTTTAGAACCAGTGTTCTAGAACCACTGCTGTATCCATTTCTTCACCAATTGTGTGTGACGAACTGACATTGCTCTGCAACGTTTCTCCTTGCAGCTGACTACCCCCATAGTACACAAGGAACCTGATACGCTGATCATACCATCACCAATCCTAAACTCCCCTTTCCTCTCGGTTGGTATGCATGAGACTGTTCTTTTTGATTTTGGTGTGCATGAGACTGTTCTTTTTGGTTGGTGTGCATGAGACTGTTCTTTTTGGTTGGTGTGCATGAGACTGTTATTCTTGGTTGGTGTGCATGAGACTGTTCTTCTTGGTTGGTGTGCATGAGACTGTTATTCTTGGTTGGTGTGCATGAGACTATTATTCTTGGTTGGTGTGCATGAGACTATTATTCTTGGTTGGTGTGCATGAGACGTT